AGGAGACATTTCCACTAACCATGAAGCCCAGGGCCTCTCCTTCACTTCTGTTGTCCCCACCGAGGTGCGTTGTTTCCAAAGTCACAATCTACACTCACAGAGAACTCAGCCTGGGCTTCAGGGTGCAGGAATGTTTCACCCACTAAGATAACACTAACTGTTTAAGAAATTGAAAGAGGATTTCTCAGTTTACACTGAGTCTTCAACAGTTGTGACTAAAACGTTATTTGGTTTTGGAAACACTTATGTTTCTACCATATAGGTAAATAAAAAATAGTTTTCACCAGAATCCACAGCAGAGATTATACATATTCAAAGCCCAATGTCAAGACAGGATTTAAAACATTTAATCATAAGAAGGTAGAAATGTTGCAATTATTTGGCAAAGAAGAAATATATTGAATTTAGTTTGTCCTAGGTGATCTTTAAAAGTGTGCACCCTTGTCCTGTGGAGGCTCCTCACCTGCCTACCCAACATCCCAGGTCTACCAGGTGGCTATTGATCTGCTCCCTGCCAGACTTGAGCCTACATAAACATACTTCAGTGTTTAACGAAGGGTATTCAGACAATAGTTTGAGTTTTATATATTTTGGTTTTATATTAATGTCCCAAATATAAAACTTTTCTTTAAAAACAGAATCTGCTTTCAATTAAGTCTACTTTTATTGAAGGAAGTCTTTGTAACCACTCCTGGCAGTTACTTCCTCTTTAGTCTGAAGAAGTACTTCAGGAGGAGTGTGGAGAGCAAGCAGGGCTGGAAGAAGTTGGTTAGTTGCACCTCCCCCTTCCTTGTCTGTAGGCATCCCTCCCCAGAATAGTTCCCATTTTCCTGTCCCCTGCTCCCTTTCTGACAGCAACCCTCTCCTCAGTCCCTGAGGTCCACAGATAATAAGCTCTGATGAAGGCTTGTAAAGGAGTACTCTGAAAGTGCTCAGGGAAGGAGTGCTGTACTATGTTATCTTTGGTCTTCCACACCATGACATGAATTCTGGAAAAGGACCATCATATGACTCTACCATAAAAACTGTACAGATGTTTTGAATATTTGTGGCCTAGATATAAGGTTTGTTCCTAATATTGCCAAATAGAAACTCTTCTTTCTCTTTATCAAGGATCCTAACAGAAGGGGGACCACAGGTTCTGAATACTGTCCATCATCTAGTACTTAAAATTAATGAAAAAACATACTTAAATTCCCACATAGTCCACAGAAGATTTGCTAGCCCAGCCCATCTATTTCAAGATGTACAGGAGTACAATTTATTTTGTTCAGGTTTATTAACAATAGCTTCTATGTGACTAAAATATGAATCTTCATCTCAAAGGGATTTTTAAGGCCAACCAAACACAAAGAAAACCATTTTTCCAGCAGGAATAAAATGAATATTTTCATATCCAAGGTCTCTGAAGTAAACTGTAGAGTACAGAAGGATACCTCTACAGAATTAAAGCTTTTATAACTATTACCAATATAAACTAAACTCTCTTGCAAATTGTTTGTAGACAAGTCTACTTTCAGATGAAATAAATTCATGCTGAATTGGTTAAGTGAATTAAATTAGAGAGTAAATAGAGTACATGCCTTTTATTCCCAACACCCCAGATGCGTCTAGACAAAGGAAGGCTCATCTACATAGTGAATTCCAAGCCAGTTTCAGGAACTATGAAGCATGTCCCCGCCTAAGCAGGCAGTATTACTAAGCATCAAGAATGTAACAACTCACTTCAAGTTGACTTTAAATCCTTAGGGTGCTAAAGTGGGCTTTAAAGTTGATTTGAGAATTCCTTACATTAAGGACTCCTATGATTTGTTGAAACAGTTTTCATATTTACTTCCACTGTATAATTAATATGTAATTTACTTTGGGTAACAGCTACACTGAAACTCTTACATATACTGGTCATTTGATAATGACTTGTATTACGTTACACTCACCTCATTAAGAACAAGCATGGTATGGAGTGATATAAACTAGACCATGCAGAAAACTATTTACCAAATATGGTAAAATTTAAAATAGGCAGCTCATTTAATTATTCTCAAGTAAATAAAGAGGAATATAGCAAATAACTGTAGGATTAAGAGTGGACAACATAAAATACAGAGATAGTGCTCATTATTATTACCTGGGGATATATGTCACAAGAAATTCTGACATAACCAATCAGACTTAAACTTATTAGAGCCTTTAAAAATGGGTAAACGGTACCAGCGAGATGGTTCAGTGGGTAAAGGTGCTTGCCATTTATCCTGATGAACCTGAAATTAATTCCCAGGGCCCACATAGTGATAGTAGAGAACTGACTCTCTTTGACCTCCACATGTGAGCAATAGCATGTACACATATGTGCCTGTACTTGTGCATACAGAAGCGTGCGCGCGTGCGTACACACACACACACACACACACACACACACACACAAATTCACAATAAAAATGTAATAATTTTTAAAAATGGCTAACTAAAAATGTAATTAAGAAAAATTATTAAACAATAATGTAGATTTTTCATTAAGTGATGATGATATTTTTATTAAATATTTAAAAAGAAAGAACTTTGGTCATAACCAAACCTTGGGCAGAGTGCAGGGAAGCATATGAAAGAAGGGGGAGTTAGTAAGACCTGGAGGGGATAGGAGCTCTACAAGGAACAAATAAATTTGGGCACAGGGGTCTTTTATGAGACTGTTTCTCCAACCTAGGACCATGTGTGGATATAACCTAGAACTCCTGCTCAGACGTAGCCCATGGCAGCTCAGTATCCAAGTGGGTGTCCTAGTAAGGGAAACAGGGACTGTCTCTGACATGAATTCAGTGGCTGGCTCTCTGACCTCCTCCCCCACCCCCAAGGAGGAGCAGCCTTGCTAGGCCACAGAGGGGACATTGCAGCCAGTCCTGATGAGACCTGATAAGCTAGAGTCTGATGGAAGGGGAGGAGGTCCTCCCCTATCAGTGGAGTTAGAGAGGGGCAGGGAGGAGATGAAGGAGGAAGGGTAGGATTGGGAGGGAATGAGGGAGGGGGCTACAGCTGGGATAAAAAGTAAATAAACTGTAATTAATATAAAAAATAAAAAATTAATAGAAAAAAGAAAAAAAAATAAATTTTAAATTGTGAAAAAAAAAACACGGTAAAAAAACAAAAAAGATCAAAGAGCAGACCAATCAGATTATGTCAGAGGCAGTCCCTCTTCCCATTACTATGTAACCCACTTGGACACTGAACTGCCATGGGCTACATCTGTGCAGGGGTTCTAGGTTATCTCCACGGATAGTCCTTGGTTGGAGTATGAGTCTCTGGGAAGTTCCCTGTGTTCAAATTTTCTTGTTCTGTTGCTCTCCTTGTGGAGTTTCTGTCCTCTCCAGCTCTTACTATTTCCCACTTCTTACATGGGGGGAGCAGCCCTACCAGGCCACAGAAGAGGATAATGCAGCCACTTTTGACGAGAACTGATAGACTAAGATCAGAAAGGAGAGGAGGACCTCCCCTATCAGTGGACTTAAGGAGGGGCATGCATGCAGAAACGGGAGGGAGGGTGGGACCGGGAGGGGAGGAGGGAGGGGCTTATGGGGGGATACAAAATGAATAAAGTGTAATTAATAAAAAATTTAAAAAAGTTAAAAAAAAGCAAAAAAGGGTAAAAACAAAGAATAAATTAGTTATATAATAAAGATACAAAACTAAAATATATATAAAAAAAGAGGAACTTTGGGTATAGCTCTCTGCAGTGTGGTCGTTGATGAAACTGTGAATGTATGAGTGTCATGGAATACACTGGCACTAGCAGTACACTGGATGCCTGGGAGCTGAACTGGTTAAACTGTCTACTTGCCTGTCATGTTTGGATATGCATGTGTTTGCAAGTGGTTACGTGGTCACATATGTGTACACGCATGTGGATTACACCAATGTCTTTCTTAATCAATTTTGATTGTGTGTGCATGTACTTGTGGACACCATGTCTTCCTTGACTACTTTCCACCTTTTCTGTAAAACAGGGTCTTTCTAAATCTGGAGTTTATTCACTACTTAGACTGGCTGGCAAGTGAGCTTCAGGGATCTGCCTGTCTCTGTTTCTGTAATGCTGGGGTTACAGACTTTCACTTTTGTGTCCTACTTTTAAGTGGGTACTGGAAATCTAAACTCAGCAAGACCTTTACTGACTGAGCCTGCTAATTTTCTGAACTCAAATCTGAGCAAGATGGAGTCACAGTCTGTATAACCTCACCTCGGAAGTGATACTTGGCATGTTTGTTACGCTCTATTCTTAGTAAGTTAATAATTAGGGAAGGAATTGTATATGGAAGTGAGTAACAGAAGAAATGAGGGAGGTGATTGGTAGGAGTAAGACAGGCACAAAAAGGATAATGGAGTGAATCTGATCAAATGTATTATGTATGTGTATGAAAACACTGAAATAAGCCCTATTATGTCACCCTAAAAGTAGGGTGAGAATATTATGTGAACAGGTTACGAACAGAACATTTAAGTTATATACTCATTCATATACATTTGTAAATAGAGATATACCATATATGTCTATGTATGTATACACTAGCCGTGCACACATGCACACACATAACACACGGATCTTGCAGCAGGCTCTGTGTAGTGACAACAGTAGAAAAATATAACACACACACACACACACACACACACACCTCAGTATAGGATTGCAACATGTTTACATGGCTTGTCGCTATTAAAATTTGGAAGACCCTGCAAAGAAATTCATTTTACTACCGTTTTGGGCTCTCTGAAGAATGTTAGCTTGTGACAAGATGTGGTGGTTTTAATCTTTTACAGTAAGCAGGAATCTCTTAAATAAACCTGATTTAAGAAATACAGAGTTCAGTTTGACCCAGGTAGTGCGGAAGGGCGAGGCAGAACAATATTTTTGACTCTTAACACAGTGAAGATTACACAACACTGAAAAAATAAATTCTCACTACAAAGGACACTCCCTGGAGTGATTCTGCTATTGAGGCACTGGCACTCACCGTACTCTACTGCAGATTTGAGCAGGGCTTCAGCATGTGTGGAGCCAAAGGCATTTCGAACAAATCTTCTCCTTCGGCGAAGATCATCCTCCCAGTAATCCAGGCGCCAGAAATCATGCAATTGACTAGATGTGAAAAATAAATGATATTTATGTCATTAACAAAAAGTCAGAACTAGAAATTCTTTTCTTCCCTAAAATTAAGATGTTCTTTCATTGGTATCTCTGGAAAGTGAGGCCACCTTGTGCTTGCATGAATATTCTATCACAATCAAATGGTAGTTAAAAGAACTGCATTATTCCCTTACACTGTAAATGCTTAGCTGTTTTTCTTTCTTTCCTTTTTTTTTTATAGTGTTCTTTTCTTTACCAAAACATTGATCATGAGGATTCGGTAACAAAAAAATATCAAATGGCAAACATTAATGGCAGTTTTCTTTCTTTTATAGCTTATAACAAGGCTGTAAATCACAGAGTAGACCTTACTACAAATAGTCTGCAATTTAATGACTGTGGCTTAGTAGACTGAATTGAGAATAATAAAATATTGCCCATGTGGCTGTGGTGGAGAAATGATTAAAATCATGTGCTGAAATATTCATTGAAGTAACTCCCTGCTGCCCACAGCAACCTGAGAAAAGTGCAATTTTATCCATTATTAATAATACCAAATTAGTTGCAAAAATTTCCAGTATGTGGTAATTGTCTTTGTAAATTATTATTCTAATGTTAACGCTCCGTAGATGATTTTACAGCTTTCATCTAATATAAACCATTAACAACTATGGTTATCACAGGGTAACATTGTGTATTACATGCTGAACCATCATTAAAACCCACAGTGCATTTCAGAAACCACTGAAACATGCTTGCTACATATCCAATGCAGCATTTTGTGATGGAACTTGGTTTTCAATTTAACTTCAATAAACACTGGTGATAAAGTTTAGCTTAAAAAGTTAGGTTTTCTGTTTACACAATGTAGACTAATATAGTAAAAAAAAAAATGATACTGTAACTTTTGTTAGCAGCACTGTCTTAAAAACATGCAGAAAGCTTTCATAGCAGATTTTATTCACTTTTTATTTTGATGTCTCACTGCAGGAGAGCACAGCAGGGCTTGCTTTTGTTTTGCTCATTACTGCATATCTACCAGCATGCCTGGGACAAGTATACTTTCAATAAGGAGTCAATGGAGTAATTTCTTAACTTCAGAACATCTATGGCTTGGGGCTGAAGAAATGGCTTAGGGGTTTAGAGCACTTGCTGTCTGTAACTCCAGTTTCAGAGGTTTTGTGTTAGTTCCATTGATGTGAAGAGACACCATGACAAAACATTTAATTGGAGGCCGGCTCACAGTTTCAGAGGTATAATCCAGTATCATCATGGTGGGGGACATGGCAGCACGCAGGTAAGCACTGGAGTAGTAGCCAGGCCACATCATGATCCACAGGCAGAAAGAAAAACAGCAACACAGTGGCTTTTGAAACCTCAAAGCCACCCCTAGTGACATATTTTCTCTAACAACACCATCTTTCCTAATCCTTTTAATCCTTTCCAAGTACTGCCACTCCCTGACGATTAAGCATTCACATATATGAACCTATGGGGCCATTCTCACTCAAACCACCACATTCCATTTCCTGGCCTCCATGGGATTGTAGCCTATCATAATGCAAAAATGTATTCAGTCCAACTTCGAAAGTCCCCATAGTCTTTCATGGCCTGAACACTGTTTAAAAGTCCAAAGTTCAAAGTCTCTTCTGAGACTCATGGTAATCTCATAACTCTAAGCTGCTATAAAATCAAAATCAAAAAGCAGATCACATGCTCCAACATACAATGGCATAGAACATACATTAACATTTCAAGAGGTAAGAAACGGAGCATAGTGAGGAACAAGACAGAAGAATAGCTGGGCAAACTCCCAACTCTGAATCTTCATGTCTGATGTCAAATGCACTTCGGTTCTCCAACACTTTCAGCTTTGTTGGCTGACCACACTTCTTTCTTTTGGGCTGGCTCTACTCCCTGTTAGCAGCTCTTCTCCGCAGGTATCCCATGACTCTGACATCTCCAAATCTTGGGGTCTCCAAGGCAATCTAGGGTTTACCTTCGCAGCTTCACACAATGGTCTCTCTGTGCCTCCATGCAAGGACATCTCTGCCTCAGAAGCTTTCCTTAGCAGCAGAGGGGGATTCCATAACCACTTTCTTGTATCCTTGATTCTACTGCTAGAACCACATGGCAGAAACTGCCAAGTTCTGCTGTTTGATGGGGCTGGAAGTTGGTCCCTTGTACAATTACAACTGCATCACCTTTCTGTTGCTGTTGGTTTCCTTCACTGCTCAATCTTTTCTTTGTTTTCACTAGTTGGAAGCTTAATGTATTGGGCTGAGTCTTACCCTGACTGCACCACTCCCTGTATTCCCTTAGGTATCAGGTTTTTCATTAAACATTTTATCTTCTTGAGCATTGGAATTAGCTCCATTACATTTCCTGGTGCTTCTCCCCACTCCCCCAAATTGTTCATTTTGTATTTTTCCTTTCTCAGTTTGCTCCTTTTCATTATAGATACGCATAAAGGTGGCCACCAATAATTATACAGCACAGTCAATATTAGGCTGCCTTGAAACCACTTCTGCCAATGTCATTAATCCCAAACTCTTCAACTCGGCCTCAGGAACATTTTTATGGCAAAGATCAAAACAAAACAAAACAAAACAAAACAAAACAAAACAAAACACCCAGCCACATTCCTTGCCAGTATCACAAGAATGGTCTCTAGGCCACTTACTAATATTCTTCCCCTCAGAAACTCCTTGACTTGGTCCCCCGACAAGCTCAAATAGCCTTTAGTACTATTTTCTATGCTCCTGCTAGGATAGCCCCTTTAATCCCTGCCTAAAGTGTCCAGCCTCTTTTCTAGTCCAAAGTTCCAAAGTCCTCCATATTACTCCAACAAGCAGCATGGTCAGGCCTGTTACAGTGATATCCTACTCTTGGTACCGACTTCTGTCTTGTCACTGTTCTATTGCTGTAAAGAGACACCATGATCAAGGCAACTCTTATAAAAGAAAACATTTCATTGGGAGTTTGCTTTCAGTTTTCATTTTCTTGTTTAGATTTTGTTTTTATGGTGCTTGAGTTTCTTTAAAAGGGTAGGTTATTCTCATAAACCAGACAGAAGACTGAATTTACACGATAAAGCAAAATCAAAGCTGGTAACTTGTTGGACATTTAGCAATAAAAAGTGTTCAGGAGATCAAATAAAAGACTAGAGTCAGAACAAAAAAAATACTTCACTAAATGTACACATGAGTACCTGGACTTCTACTGTGTGAAAAAAGTGGTAATCGTTGATATAAAGAATTCTGTGTATACAATCTAATCCTGCCCAGATCAAACAAAAACATGCATCAGACACATTGCTAATTAAAAAGTATCTTCACACAAAGAGGCACCAAGTATATAATGTACTTTTATTAAACCCATGATTTCATACAATGAATTTATGAGGTATTTAGGTTGTCACCTCAGTATAATCCAAGAGGTAAGTTGTTAGAATGGAAACTATA